GGGGGGCAGGAAGGCACTGATCCCATCGGTGCTCACCATCCGCCGGTAGATGAAGTTGGACAGACGCGTGCGGGCATCGGAGCGGAAGTAGCGGCGGTACGTCCTGCGGGTCTGGGGACAGTGGGAGTCAGTGCGATGTGGGACCCCATGGGGTGGGACCCCCTCCCTCCATGTTCCCCATTGGGTGTGTCCCCCACCCCCCTCCCCATACAGCCCTGCCCCGACAGGGTGGGCAGATCCAGGGCAGACAGACAGACAGTCCCGGACGCAGCAGGACAGCAGGACAGAGGAGCTCAGGGGTGCGTGGCCCCGCAGCGTGGCTCACCCCATTACCTGATACCCTTTCCAGTATGCAGAAATGGTGCTGGCGGCCAAATGACGGCGGCGCTGAACTTTCAGCTCCCGAAGGAGCCGGCGGGACTACAGAGGGACAGCCAGAACCCAAAGAGCCCAAAGGAGGAGAGGGAAACACCAACACGCATAGCGAGCGAGAGGGAGAGAAAGGGAGAAAGGCAGGAGGAGAGATGGAGGGAGGTGGGGTGAGACGGTCCTGGGGGGAGCAGGACCCCCCAGCCCCCCAACCCCACAGCATCACTGCCCTGGAGCGTGGCCCCAAATGCCCACATGGCACACAGTGCTCACCTTCCAGCCCCGTGCATACGCCTGCAGCAGCAGCACCGAGCGCTTCATCTGCTTGTACCGGTTCCTTTGCTGCAGGGGGAGCGGGGGGGGTCACACCCATGGACCCCCCATACCCCCAGCCCAGGGGGTGAATGGGGAAGGGTGCAGCACTGCCAGGACCCTCCTCCTCACCGCATGGCCGCGGAACCACGCGGAGATGAGGATTTGGCTCTTGCGCATCAGCTGGTACTGCTTCCTGCAGCGCCAACCGCGGAACATCGCCTGGATGAGGGTGGCCAACTCGGCCACGCGCTGCTGGCGCCGCTTCTCCAGGTCAAAGAGCTGCAGATGGAGCAGAGCTGAGGGCTGTGGTATCACCCGGAGACCACGGGGGGATGGAAGGCTCAGAGAGGGACTGGGAGGGCTCAGAGCAGGAACTCACCCCACATACCCCCCGTCCCTACAGCCAGGACCCCCAACCCCACACTCACAGTTCGCGGTGAGCGGATGAAGATTTTGGTGTGGCCATATGCCAGCTCCTCGGAGGGGAACTTCAGCTCTGCCAGCAGCACCTCAGTGCCTTCCCTGCAGCACACGGGGATGCTCAGACCCTGCACCCCACAGCAGTGGGGCTCCAGGATGTGCAACCGCCCAGCCCCCCCTTTCTCCCCCTGACCTGTCACTGCCCGTCCAGTGGGGCCAGGTCCTCCTGCTCAGCATCTTGTAGCGCTTCAGGAAGGGCTGGTAGAGCTGACGGAAGGCGTAGCCTGCACGCCGTACCCGCACGTTCTCCATCAGCCCCAGGTAGCGCACCTGAGCCAGCACCAGGTCCGGAGTGAAGAGCATTGCTGTCTTGGTGTCGTTGGGCTTGATGCACCTGGGGAGGGAGAGGGGCAGCGGTGGGCATGTTGGGGTCCCACTGTCTACCCCCACACATGTGGTCCCGCCCGGCACTACCTGATGTAGTTGGGATTCTTGGAGTAGAGGTTCTTCATCAGCGTCGCCACGGATGCCTTGAACTGGGAGCCGGTGGTGGGAGGCAGTTTGAGGGAGGGTCTTTGGGGGTCACCCTCGGGGAAGAGGGAGCGCAGCAGAGTGTGCCGGGCGGCCCACATGGCCTGGGACAGGTCACGGAACAGCAGGTCGTTGTTCTTCTCGATGAAGCCTGTCACGTTGTAGGTCACCTGGGATGGGAGCAGGGTCAGTGCCATGGAAAGGCTGGGATGAGGACTGGGTCAGGGGAGTGGGAGCAGGGCCAGTGTGTGCCCCAGCCCCGTGGAAAGGCTGGGATGAGGACTGGGTGCCCTGCTTTTCCCCAGGGATGGGGCTGTGGGTGCCCTGCACCTTCCCAGCATAGTGGTGGATGCGGAAGCAGCGCAGCGGCAGGCTGATGTCGGTGACGTGTTTGGCGTTCAGCGTCTCTTTGCTCTCATAGCGTTTGTGGGAGGCGAAGATCTGGTTCAGTTTGGTGATGAAGGTGTCCTCATTCACGGTGCCGGGCCGCAGGCACTCCTCGTCCAGCATGGCCAGGATCCCAACTTTGCTCTGTGCCGCAAGGGGACAGCATCACCCCCAGCCCACCCCAAAACTGCCCCAAAATGCCCAAGCGCAGAGCATCGGCCCCACTGAGCCACCTCAGGACCTGGAGGCCCCACACCGGGGGTAGGAACTCACGTTCTCAATGAGGTCGCAGATGATGCTGTTGTCGAAAAACTCCACTGGCGTCCACTTGATGCCCTGGGAGCAGAGGGGTGTCATGCACAAACCCTGCTCCATGGGCACCCCCTGTTGGTGTTGGGCAGGAAGCGGACGTCCGGCCGCCGAGACGGGGATCCCGAATCCCTCCCCGCCTTCCTGCCATTGAGTTGCTCTCCCGGTGGGGGGCGGTGAGGAAGGGACGTGCTGTGGGGCCGTCTGAGGCGCTTCCCCATCCCACTGAGGCTCCCCAGAGCCGCATCCCTTTGGGGTCAGCATTACCTCTCGGACATATTCCTCCTGCTCCTCCTTCAGCGTCATCAGGATGAAGATCTGCTGCAGCTTCTCATTGCAGTAGTTGATGATGAACTGCTCGAAGCCATTGTCCTATGAGATAAGCGACCCGAATGGCAGATCTGTGCTGGAGACCCCGCCCCCCACATCCCTCCTGCAGACCCCCACCCCACAGCCCTCCTGCTGCTCCTCACCTGGAAGATCTCGAAGCCGTAGATATCCAGGACTCCCATCACCTTCCTCTGCTTGCCTGGCTTCACCTGGGGCACAGAGAGACTGAGCCACATCCCTGTCAGGGGGGGTCGGCACACGGCTCTGGGGTTGTCTGGGGGCTCACCTTGATGCTGGTGTTGATGCGGTTCACCAGCCAGTCGAACAGGCGGCTGTAGATGTTCTTGGCCAATGCATCACGGCCGTAGTAGCCCTGGGGAGAGGGGAGGGGGGCTCACAGGGAGTCCTGGGGTGTGAGCCTAGGGGGGGGGGGGGGGGGGGGGGGGGGGGGGGGGGGGGGGGGGGAATCCCTGCTCACCTGGGAGACGCTGAGCGCAGTCAGCACGCTCTCATCCCGCACCTTCACAGTGCGTGAGCACAGCGCCTGCTCCAGAGTGCTGGGGTCCAGCCCGATCAGCTGGCTGATCTCCTGCAGCTCTGCGCGGAACAAAGCGGTGCTGAGGCTCTGCGGGGATCATGGGGGGGGGGTCCCATCTATCCCCCCTGCCCCACCATACCCCGTGGCTCGGTGATGCTGGATGCCTCCATCCCGCTGGCCTGGAAGCAGCTGCTCAGCTCCACGTTGCCCAGTTTGAGCACCACAGCTGTCACCTCCAGCAGTGCCGTCACCTCAGTGGGTGTGAAGCCGATGATCGCCATGGCATCCTGGGGGGAAGGGAAAGGAGGGGGGCAGCCATGGGGTGTTTGGGGAGCAGGGGGAGGGGTCATGCCCCCGTACCTGCATGGCACGGAAGTTGGCGGCATCATCCATGCCGGGCAGCACTGACTTCTCACGGTTCAGGTAACCATAGTAGCTGCAGTCCGGACGCAGCTTCAACTTCTCTGCGGTGGGGGTGAGGGGGTTGGAATCTCAGCCATAGTCCCCAAGACGGGGCATTTCCTCCCCAGCCCCCCCAGCTCCATGTTGGGACGTACGGAGCAGCTGTGCTGAGCCCCCCGCCAGCAGCTGGTAGAAGATGTGGAAATTCCTCTCGCCCTTCACGTGGCGGACGATGCGGGATTTCTCCAGCAGATCTGTCAGGGTTTGGGGGGGGAAGGGGGGATGAGTATAACTGCAGCTCAGGGGAGGCTGAGACCACCGGGGGGGAGAGGGGAGGGGACAGCACTGACAGTTAGTGATGACCCCTCCCAGAGGATCTCCCTTGAAGTCGAACTCCACATCCATGTATTTGCCCTGAAGGATGGGGATGGGGTCGGGGTGAGTGGGCCCCAGGGGGGACCCCTCCCCACACCCCCTCCCCGCTCACTCACAAATCGGGAGGAATTGTCATTGCGGATGGTTTTGGCGTTCCCAAAGGCTGTGGAGGAGGAGGATGGGATTATGCAGCACTAGGTGATGCAGTTTTGGGGGGGGGTGATGAGTCTTGGGGTATGTGGGGCACTCACCCTCCAGCACAGGGTTGGACTGCAGCAGCTGCTCCTTCACTTTGTCCACCTCCTCCCCTTTGCTGCTCACGGCCGCCACGTAGGACATCACCAGCTTGCTGGCCTCTGCAATGGGGATGTCAGCCCTGGGACCTTGGACCCCCCTATCCTGCAGCCCTGCAGCCCCCAGCCCACCCTACCTGTCTTGCCAGCTCCACTTTCACCAGTGATGAGGATGCATTGGTCCCGGTCCCGGTCCCGCAGCGAGCAATATGCATCATCAGCAATGGCATAACTGTGGGTAAGTGGAACTCAGAAAGGGGCTTGGGGGGTCTTGGGGGGGAACTCAGGAGCCTTGGTAGGACTGAGGGTTAACAGCAGCTCTGTGCTCACATGTGGGGTTTCACGGCAAAGAAGTTGCAGTTGTGGTACTCCTCCACCTTCTCGGGGGTGTAGATGGGCAATGGTTTGTAGGGGTTCACTGAGATCACCACCTCCCCAATGTATGTCTGCAGGTGAGTGGCGGTGTGAGTGCAGGGCCAGGACAGAGCAGTCTGCTCCCACCCCATTCCAGACTCCATATCCTCATCCCTATCCCAGACTCCATACCCCATCTTTGTTCCCCATCCCAGACCCTGTATCCATCCCTGATCCCCACCCCAAACCCTCTACCCACTCCTCATCCCCATCCCAGAACCGATACCCACCCCTCCTCCCCATCCCAGTCCCTGAAACCCCATCTTTGCTCCCCACTGCAGACCCCATATCCATCCCTCTCCCCATCCCAGACCCCATATCCATCCCTCTCCCCATCCCAGACCCCATATCCACCTCTGTTTGCCATCCCAGACCCTGTACCTCCCGCTTTACCCCCTCCCCAAGCCCCGCTCCCCTCCTCATCCCCGCATCCCGGTGCCTACGTAGATTTCCTCGCGGCTGAAGCGCTCCTGCAGGGTGCGGAGCAGGGCCTCCTCGCTGAGCGGGTCCAGCATCACCAGATCCCCGACGGCCGCAGCATCCAGCAGAGAGGTGGTGGCTTCCATGGCTGGGGGCTGCGCGGAGCCTGGGGCAGAGCGGTGGGGGCTGCCCTGGATACCCCCCTCCTCTTCGAGGCTTCAGGGCAGCTCTGGGAGAAGCGCGGAGCCGGCAGGAAGCGGGGACACCTGGGCCCTATTCTTGGGGCTGGGATTAATTCAGACTCCGCTTCCTCCCTCCTTCCGGGCCGGGGGGAGCTGAGCTCGGGGCTGGGGTGGACACCTGGGGGGTCGCGGCTCCGCCCAACCCCCGCCCTCACCTGGTGCGATGCCGGCGACCTTCAGCCCCGCTTCACCTTCACCTTCCCGGGGCTGTAAACCCAGCCCTGCCGTCGGGGTCGGGGAAAGTTCACGGGCGGGGGGTGGCGAAGAGGCGGGGAGGGGGAGGGGGGCGGTGGCAGCAGCCGTCGAGCAGAACGGGGCTGACCGAGACCCCGCAGGGGGCTGCAGCGTCCTCCGAGCCGGGAGCGGCACAGAGAGCCTCGACGACGGAGGCGGGGGGGGGGGGGGGGGGGGGGAGTTTGGAGCCAGAGCCCCCTGCAGCACCGGGGAGCGCCGGGATTCCCCGCAGGGCCGGGGCTCGGGGTCCCGTTGTGCCACCTCCCAGCCCCCCCCGGGCGCGGTACCCCTGCCGGGAGCGATGGGTCGCCTCTCACCTGCGGCTTGCGGGACGCCGGCTGCGGGAGTGGCCGAACCGGGGCTGCCTCCCGGTCAGGACCCACACTGGGATTGGCCCCGTCCGGCCCACGAAGGGGCGGGGGCCGAGAGCCCTCCCTCGGGGCAGGGAAACTGAGGCACGCAGCAGAAGCAGCCCCGAGCCAAAGCTCGCAGACCTGTGCGGGGTCCCGGCCCGCAGCGCTGCCACCTCCCCGCAGCAGGAACAAGCAGAGAAATGCAATTGTGGCCGAGCAAACAAAAGGAGCTTCCTCCCGGGGCTCCGGGAAACCGGGGCAAGGTACAGAGCTGGCAGCAGCCGGGCCACTCCCGGGAAGACGTCTGATCCTGGGCTGCCAGCAAAGGGCCCTGCAGTGGGCAGAGGAGAGCAGAACGAGTGGACAAATGAGACTCACAGTCATGAAAATACACTTTTATTAAAAAATACAATCATCAGTCTGCCTTAGCCACATGAAATGGACGGGGGGGAGGGGGAGGAGATGCATCCATAGAGGTTGCTTGCACCAAAACAGGGGGGCAGGGGAAGAAAACCTGGGACAGAAACAACTGGACAGAAAAGCCAGGGGCAGCAGCACAAGCGAGGGGCACTTAGGAAGCAGCAGGAGGGCAGTAAGGCTAGAGGAGGGCTGGTTTATTGCTAAAATGTTGCATAGAGTGGGGCATTTCCTCTGTGCTTGCGCTTTGTCAAAGTTTGTACTGTCCCAACTGCCAGCAGCAAAGATCCCACCCTGCATTGTGGGAACAGCCCCTGAGGCCAGAGGGCTGAAAGCAGAGAGCAGCAGCAGCTCCCACACACTGGGAGCAGGACCCCTATCACAGGCACCTTCAAAAGTGTTCCTTGAGCTCTGCACTGAGACAGAGGAGCCTTCAGAGCTGCATCTCTGCCCAGGAAGCACAGGGTTTTTGGTATTAAAACAAGGCAGAGTCACAGCTGGAGCCCTCTGGCACCTTTGGTGAGCAGCAGCACGAGGAGGAGCAGCCTGGCAGCAAGCAGGTGCTGAGCATGCAGGTACTGTCAGGAGAGGTCCAAAGTTCCCCTTATGAATGTGTCATCCCTGCAGGGACACGCACATGAGATGGACCTTTTGCTCCATCCACACCCTGAAAGGCAGAGATGCCCTTGGCAGAGAGAGGGTGTGGGCACCCAGAGCAGAGCAAAGCAGAGCAGAGCAGAGCGGCTCCTTCTGTCCCCTATGGCAGCAGCACTGGGGCACAGGGCTGGGCTCAGTGTGCCCCACAGGAAGCCCCTACAACGTGTGCACCACAATGAAATGCACCAAGAACCAGGATGGCTCCAGTCCACCTCCAGTCAGGAACAGTGCGCCACACCAGCAGCGCAGATCTCAGTGTCCCCACCAGAGTCAGCTCACTGCCCCCTTCTGCCAATGAGAGCTGCACTGATAAAAGCTTTTGTGCCTCAGCTGGTAGGAGTTACCCTGGGAAGAAGTCAGCTCCCTCCATCCTCCTAGCAGCTCTGCAGCAGAGCCAGGCTTGCAGCAGCCCAGCTCGGGGTGGAATCGGAGGTGCTGGGCACAGCAACACCAGCTCAGCCCTGAACAGAGGGTTTTGGACACTGCAGGTGTCAGGGATGTGAGGAGCCACAGCAGTTTTGCTGCTCTCCCTTGTGGTTGTGGGGCAGCTGACCTCAATCAGCAGTCAGGTGGGTTGTGGGACCACAAGCAGCTCGTGCTGCCTCTCCATAGAGAAAGTCTTCCTCCTCGTCCTCCTCAAAAAGCTGCTCCTCGAGGAACACCCCGCCCAGGCCGTACTCCTGCTCATGGAAGGACACCTCGCTGGCAGTGAGGTGAGAGGCACCACCCACAAACTCAGCAAACCTGGGAAGAAGCAGCAAAGAAACACTGTGTGGTTACATCAGAGTGTCCTGGCATGAGGGAATGGCTTTGAGCACTCATTGTGCATGCCTAGCCATGGGCAGAGCTGCATCCAGCATAGAGAAGGCTGGGTCAGGACTGGAGTTATCTGTCCTTGCTTTGCTGCATGCCCTGCTTCCACACCGCAGGGATCTTCAGTACCTCAGTCTCCCTTTCTCTAAAGCCACAGGTGGCAGCATGGAGCAACTGTGAACTTCCAGATGAGATTGGCCACCTCACTCCCAGGGGATGTTACCTTTTGGGAGATTGGATGCGGGACACTGCAGTCCAGGCAGAGAAATCCGGGCTTCTGCAGTAGTTTCGAAGCTCCTCGAGGGCCTTACGTGTCTCCACTTCACCCTGAACACGATATTCCTCTTCGGTCAGCAGGCGAGGGGGGCTCGGCCCCAGCCGGGCACTCTGTGCTCTCCTACCAGCAGAATGGCACTGATTATTGCCCAGACTGGGCCCCCAGGAACAGCGTCAGGAGCAGCGCACAGCACATCCCTCTGGCCTCTGCATCTTGCTCCTGAGAGAGACCCCTCCCCCCAGCTGTGAGGAGTGGGATGCTGCATCACACCAACCTGGGGAGGAGGAACACAACCTTCCCTGTGTTCCCACCCCAGCAAGAACACCCTGGTCTTGCAATGTAGGTCCTGTGTAGCAGCTCACCCTGACTGGGGAACTGAGAGTCAGCAGCAAACACTCACTTGTAGACACCATAGATCCACTGCAGGGGGTAGTCCTTGTTCTTGGTGCAGACAGCAATGAGCATCAAGGCCAGGGCGATGGGGCGGATCTGGATGCCCAAATATATCAGTGCCAGGCCCAGGAGCTGCAGGGCCCAGGAGAGCAGGTTGATGCTGCGCTCATTCTCCAGCGGGCCGTACCTGTAGCACACTCCAAAGCTCACAAAGCCCATGAGCAGCAGGTAGCCTGCAGGAGAGCAGAGGAATCAGGCACGGGGTCCTCCTATGGCACTGCCTCAACCTAGAGATGCTGAGCAGTGCCTGGCAGGGCTGCAGCCAAACCTAGTGCTGCAGTTTCCCCCTCTCAGGAGCTCAAAGACAGCATCAGCTGCAATGAGGACAGCAGGAGGCACCAACATTTCCCACCAGCGTGCTGAAGCTCCAGAAAAAGCCACATCATGTGGTGAACTGGTGGGTCTGAGAGCCCACACCTACCCAGCAGGTACTGCCAGTAGGACATGCATATCTCCCGCAGGTTCTTGAAAACCAGCTGAAGCAGGTACAGGGAAAAGGACCAGCCTCCTAGCAGCAGGAAGTAAACAGGACTTTTCTAGGAGAGGAAACATGAGAATCAAGAGAGGCTGTTGGCAGAAGATATTGATGGCTGCATCCCTTCAACTACTACACCCTGCTCTGTGTGAGACCAGATCCACAACAAAACAGAACAAGGCCACAAAATCTATCACCCAGAGTTTTGCTCACCTTGGGCATGGCCTTGGACATCACATAGATGAGGATGAGCAGCGAGGCCAGCAAGCCAATGCTTATCCCAGCTGAGTAGAAGAAGAGCTGGCTCCTGCAGAGATCACACGTGCACAAGGTTGTTTCACAGCTTGTGAGATGATGTCTATGCACAAACATATCTGCTGGCAGTAAACCCTGGGAGCATGTAGGCTGAGCATCCCAGCACCCAGTGCCAACAGAAAGGCACCTCACATTCCCAAAATTTCATAGGGAAATTGTGCAGAGGCCCATAGAGCTCATGGAGTGAGGCCTGGCAAGCCCTGCAGGCTCAGAGAAGCAGACATAAATACTCTGTCCTCCCACAGCACGCACACAAAGGAGCCACTCTGCAAATCCAACTCACAGTGGACACGAGGTAACTCACCTGCTCAGCATGTCCCCACAGAAGAACAACAACAGGCCCAGGAAGAAAACCAGGAACAGTTTAGGGTCAAACCCTGGAAGAAGAACAAGCCCAGGTTAGGAGAAATCCCAGCACGGTGAGCTGAGTGCAAGCTCCATTCTGACATACTGAAGCAAGCAAGGAGAGGCAATGCCTGAGGCAAAGCTCTGACAAGTGCCCCGTGTCCCTCCCATTCTGTATCCAAGTATTCCTCCTCTGCAAGCCCATTTTTCTTTACTGTATGCAGCAGCACAAGCTTGCTGTCCCTTATGGGAGGACCCACTGCCCACAGACTCAACGTACAGCGGGACAGCACAATGCAGTATCTGGTGTCAGCCTCTAGCAGCTCAACCTTCAGGCAGGTTTTGTTGCTGTAGAGATCCATGTCGATGTTGGTGCTGTTCAGCTTCTCCCTCAGTAGGGAGGAGAGGAAATTCCACACCTTGGACTCCTCCAACTCCCTCAACTCCTCCTCGCTGCCCACCTGGGTGACACGGATCACGTGGTTGCTGTTCACCCGGATCTGTGTAGGGGGAGAAAGCAGACGTGGACATCTTCAGGGTGGGCTCAGCCCTGTGGCCCGGGAGCTGGGTCGGAAATCCCACCTCCCCTCACCTGCATCCTGGTCCAGATGTCTCGCCAGCAGGGGCTGTGCACGTTGGTGTAGCAGAAGTGGTGCGAGGTGGTGTGGCAGCGCTCAGAGCCCTCCCGCAGCGCGATCACCTCCGCCCCATCACCTTCACAGTGCAGAGGAGGAAAACTCAGAAACGCAACGGGAACGCTAGAGCCCGCTGCCACCCGTCCGACTGCAGGGTGCTCTCCTCCCGAGGGACCCCACCGTGCACTCGCGGTGGAGCAGGACGAGCCCTCAGCCGGGACGCGCTGGATCACCCCACGACCGCTCCTGCTCCCCCGGAGCCCCCCAGACCCCTCAACCCCACTCGAGGCCCCTCAGGCTGGAGCGTTGCGCGTGGCCGGACCTACGACGCCATCCAGCGCCCCATGGGGACGCTGCTCCCCGCCCGGGAGGGCCCCGTGTAAAATCACACCGCGCACCTGCACCGCCTAGCGGAGGCGACAGTAGGAGCAGCAGCAGCAGCAACGCGCCCAGGATCCGCCGCCGCCCCGGGACCGCTTTCATCCCTCCCGCCATGGCGTCCCCGCCAACTTCCGCTTCCGCCGCCCCACCCACACTGCGGACGGCAACGGAGTACAAGGCAGCATCCAATGAGAGCGCGAAGCCCGTATGATGTCATCAATCGGTGACGGCTAAAGAGACCAATAGGAAGGCGGCTTCGCGAGATCCTCGTCGCCTGCAGTGTTGACTGACAGTGCATTCGACCTATCAGCATAGCCTAAGCAGGATCAGGATTTGGTCCCGCCCACAGTTACCGAGGTGACCACCACGAGCTCCGCTCAATCTCGAAGCCGGCCCACACCATAGCAACCGCGAGCCCCACCTTAGCAACGAGTTTGACAGGCATCCACCTTAGCCAATCAGCGCTCAGCCTCGGCTCTCCCGCCCCTCTCCTCCAAGCCGGCTTGATTGACAAGCGGCTCCGCCTATCAGGAGGCGGCACCTCGTTGTTTGCGTGGGGGGCTCTGCGGGGCGCGGGGCAGCGGCCCCTGCACCGGGCTCCGCTCGGCTGCGTGATGCCCACCCGGGACCCCCAGCGTGGGGAGGGGGCGGCTCAGGAGGGGCGGGGGGGAGCACCGGCCGTGCTCAGCAGCCTCCCCCGCCCCCCCGGCGCTCGGCTCCGTGGGCGAATCGGGCTCGGGCGGCCCCCCCGGGTCGTGGGCGGCGGAGCCGGGAAGCGGCGGGGCCGTGGGCGGAGGATGTGCGTCAGCCGGGGGCAGCCTGGGAACGGCCGGAGCGGGGAGGGGGGCGGGGGGGGAGCTGGGACAGCTCGGCCGTGGAGGGTCTGTGGGGTGGGGGGTGCGGAGCGGCGCTGCGCTATGGGGATGGAGCGGGGCGGGACCCCCACCGTCCCCCGACAGCCCCGGAACGCGGCGCTGGGCTGTCGCGTCCCCCCCCACGCGGGGCAGAGGGCGCGGGGGCGGTGGCGCCGGCGCGGTATAAATAGAGCCGGGCTGAAGCCGGGGGGGGGGGG